AAGGGCCTGTACTGTGCTGTAATGTTCTATGTTCTATGTTCTATGTTCACACCCCTTCCCTTGTAAAATTGTGGGCATGTCAGATGTAGGTCCACGGGTAATAGAAACCTCCCAGGAGGCAGTGGAGTAGTGGTAATGTCACCAGACTAGGAATCCCAAGCTCAATCTAATGTCTGGGGACATGGGCTGGAATCCCACCATGGCAGATGGTGAAGTTTAAATTCAAAATATTTTTAAAAAACTATCAGGGATTGGCAAAAAAAAAAAGTGGTCTAGCTAATGATACCCATGTCCCATGAACAAATGTGAAAAAAGATCCTTATACTTCCATTATACCTGTCATCACGGGACAATATCCTCAAAAGGGTCAGAATCTTGCTACTGGCTAATTACGGTACTAGTAGTAAGTTGATAGGCACCAGCTGCAGATGGACTGGAGACATGACTGATTGAGGGAACAGGAAGAGAGAGGAGCATCATAATAGAGCATCCCAACATGTTTGTAGCATACCAGAAGTAAAACCTTATTAGTTCATAAAAGATCAATATCTTACAGCATCCACTGCCAATAATAGACCAAATTGCAAATTGACATTTTGAGTTTTCATTATTTTAAAAAAGCATAATTCAATGAAACTAATTCCCTGTAGGAAAAAACAATTTTCATTGCTGATTATTAGGAATTGAAGGAACATGTGAAGCCTCAGAAAATTATGATAGTTTAAAAATGGCTTTTGATATTAATAAGCACATCATGCCATAGATTCCATTACTGCAGTCTAAATACAGGAATCTGTAAAACCTGGTACTCAAAGTAAGGATCTTCCAGTGTTATGATAAACGAAACACAGAAAACTAGAAAGTATGGAGCAGAAAAAGAAATTTGAGAAAAATGGATCAAGCCAAGGTTTTGCTTACATCTCTCCAGGAGAACAGACAAGTTGTCTAAAGTCTCACCAACTTTAACCACCACAACACCACCCAGCCACAACTGTTGAGATCTAATTTTTAATTTTTTTTATCATTTTGGTTTGGTGCTATGAACTGTGAGCTGAGAGCTGAAGGCAACCTATGGACTATGAGCAGTGGCTTGTTTTAAAACAAGAGGAGAACAAACAAATTCATATTTGTTAATGAGGCCAGGTCTCATTACAGGTTGAATTTTGTTCAAGGCTGTTATCAACTTTTCAACTCCAGAGAGACATAATGCTCAAACAGATGGCAGATACTTGAATGTTAACAGGGGTCCTGCAGGGAAGTTCGTGCCAAGAGAATGTTGAAAAGAAACAGAAAGAGAAACCAGAGTTTGAATTGGTTTTGAAATGCGTTTTTGTCAGAAGGATAAGGCTGCCAAAGCTACAGGACAGAGATCTGATTGTTCCCATTATCAATTTATTGAAAGTTTGAAGAATACAATCTCAGTTATGAGAAAATTAAATGAACATTCCTTGGAGCCTACTGGAAATTGTTTGCGCTGACCAGTGTCATCAGAAACCAAGCAAGATACAATCCCATGTGCCTGTGATATTACGATTGTGGAAACAGTTTATGTGAACTGGCCAGTTACATCTCTGTTAAATTTCTTTTGACTTATTCCTTAATTGTGTCTTTATGTCTATCTATCTTTGTATGACCAGGGGCTATAATCGAAGAAGATTGGGTTTAAATCATAGACATTAATTAGATTACCTCATCGTTTAACTTTGCTCAGCTAAAGTACTGTATTAATGATAAATCATTAATACTTTGTTTAAGCTAAAAACTTGGTGTCTGGTATCAATTAAACACAGAGTCTGTTACAGGCTATTCATAAAATCTGGTTATAAACCATTGGGATTAACTTTGAGGGCCTTTGAATGTTTTAATTTTACTGTGCTATGAATATAGTGCTTGGGAGTTTTGTTTAATTTCGCTGTCTGTCTTTGTGTCACAATTCAACTCCAAACTAAACAAGGCTAAAATAATAAGATTATCCTCAATTCACAGAACAAAAATAAAAATGTAACATTCACTTCCAAGGAATAGTCCAAATTATAACAAAAAGAATCAAACATGTCTGTGTTCAGTGTTTTCTGAATAATACCTAAAATTCTACATCTAATGTTGTAAGATTTTGTAAGTTTTTCAAAATAGATTTTGTTAATGCCATCTGATATATTTTTGAACAATCAGTTTCATATGCCTGGAGTATGCTTTCTATTTTAATTGCTGATCTTCTTATCTGTTGCTAGGGTCCACCAGGACCATCTGGTCGTCCAGGGCCAAAGGTAAAACCTGTGGAATCAGTTCTATTGCTTTCCTGTCATTTAAAAAATTATTTTGAAAGCTTTAGTAAAATATAAACCTGCTTGATCTTTATTTGTACAGGGCAACATGGGATTGATCTTTGTGGGTTCCATGGGTGACAAGGTAATAGAAATTTGTGTATGGGAATGTGGCTGGGAATGGGCAAGATTAGATCAAATAATTTGTGCATTTCAACAGACTTTAACAAAGCTGATGGTAAATAGATTTGTGAACTGAGCCACTGATTGATTTTTCATCTGTACTGATATTTTTTAACCATACTTCAAAAATTATGCCAAAACTGATGAATGCCAAATACATTCTAATTAACCATTCCTCAAGTTGATAAAACTATTCCTCCAACCTGATAAATTAATGCTTGTATTGGAAACAGGGTGTGAAAGGTCTTCCTGGCCCCATTTATCGACCAGAGCGGGCTCCTACCACGACTGTGAAAGGACAGAAGGTAAGACATGGCTCTCCAATGAACCAAGTAAATCTGCTGGCCTGGCCCCTACTTATTCTGTAGCATCCATAATTCTATCTATTATTTTATTGAAGCGTGAGTTTGGGTCAGTCAATAACACTTTCCCTCCAAGAACAGTTCCTGTCGCATATGCTACAACCAGATTCCAGGTGACAGTCTCCAATTTGCTACATTTCCAGACAGATACCCTAAATCATCAAACTCCTGGGTGAGGAGGGATGATCTGGATCGCCTTCTTTATTTGCCTGCCCCCTCAGCAAGGCAAAACAAAGTTAATGTAAACTGATTCCCCTCCCTTGTGATACCTTTCTCCTAAAAGCAATTCACGGGATGAGAGTGTCGCTGGCTAGGCAGCATTTATTGCCCATCCCTAATTGCCCAGAGGCAGTTAAGAGTCAACCACATTGCTGTGGGGCTGGAGTCACATGTAGGCCAGATCAGGTAAGGATGGCAGTTTCCTTCCCTTAAGGACATTAGTGAACCAGATGGGTTTTTATGACAATCAACAATGGTTTCATGGTCATCATTAGACTGTTAATTCCAGATATTTATTGAATTCAAATTCCACCATCTGCCCTGGTGGGATTCAAACCCAGGTCCCCAGGACATTATCTGGGTCTCTAGATTAACAGTCCAGCGATAATACCACTCAGCCATCACCTCCCCTTTAAACAGAGCCAGTTTAACAATGAGGACCTGGCATGTGTATTCTGGACTCAATATCAAGTTCAATAATTTTAAGGCCTGAGCACCTTCTCCCATCTCCCTCCCCCAACACACCAGGCTGTGTCATCACATGGGCTGCTTCCACAAGCAACACATTTGCAGCTACCAATGGTCCCCATTAGCAACTATTGATTCTCCCAGGCTGACCTTTACCCATTCCTTTGTCTGCACAACTGTTTTTCTCTCTCTCTCTGGGTTCCATCTTTACCTGCTGTTTACTCTTTCCCCCTCCCCATCCTCCACCTTTTGTTTTTTTCCCCTTTATTTGTTCACAGGAAGAGGGCATCGCTGGCTAGGCCAGCATTTATTACTCAACCCTAATTGCCCAGTGGGTAGTTCATAGTCAACCACATTGCTGTGGGTCTGGAGTCACATGTAGGCCAGACCAGGTAAGGATGGCAGTTTCCTTTCCTGAAGGGCATTAGTGAACCAGATGGGTTTTTCCCGACAATCAACACATGGATTTACGGTCATTACTAGATTCTTAATTCAAGATATTTATTGAATTTAAATACCACCACCTGCCATGGCGGGATTCGTACCCAGGCCCCAGAATGTTATCTGGGTCTCTGGATTAACTGTCCAGCAATAGTACCATTAGGCCATTGCCTCCCCTTATTAGCATATATACCCCATTTTCATAGTTATAACCAGTTTTGAAGAAGGGTCACTGGACCTGAAACATTAACTTGCCTTCTCTCCACAGATGCTGCCAGACCTGCTGAGATTTTCCAGCAATTTCTAAAATTACAGTCCAGTTTGTGTTGTCTTGCCATTTATCAACTCCCCGCCATATATAAAGTGGTGTGTTTGAAGTTCCGTTTGTATCCATAAGTTTGGCATTTGTGGTCTCTCTCCCCTCCACTTCTCTCCAGACATATCTGTTAGCATACACAGCTTTCAGTCCATAATATTGAGACTGACCATAGACCACTCTAGAAAATGAGATTTTACCAGAGTCTACTTGCTATCATGCTTATCTCCAATGAAACTGACAATTAAACTGCAATAATATAACCTTTAAAATATAGGCAGTTAGAAAACTGATATGAAATATATTAGATTACAAAAACAATAAGTTAAAACATGGTGCTGGATTTAACAGAGCCCATGGGAAGGGAAGCACAATGTGGCAGGAGTGGGGGCAGGGGAGTCAGAACTGACAGGCCAGTGGGAGAAGTGAACCAGAAGGGGGACCCAACATCGGAAGACAGCCCTGATACGCTCAGTGTTGGGGGCGGAGGGGGGATAGTGGTGATCAATAAGAACATAGCATGCACTTACCCATCACCAGCATACCAGCTATCAGGCAGGAGATTTTGTGTAGTCCTGTCCTACTGATGATTAACTGGCAAATTAAGGGCGTGTATTGGCTCACAGAATCATAGAATGTTATAGCACGGAAGGAGACTTTTCAACTCATCATGTCTGTACCGAGCTCTCAAAATAGCTACCCAGCTAGTCCCATTTTCAAGCTCCATCTCAATAGTTTAAATTAAAACCGAAAGAATGGCAGATGCTGAAAATCAGAAACAAAAACAGAAACTGCTGGAAAAGCTCAGCACGTCTGGCAGCATTTATGGAGAGAAATCGGGTCCGGCTACCCTTCCTCAGAACAGCCCTCAAACTTCTAAATTAATCACTTTCAAAGGACTTTTGGAAAGCCTTTGACAATGTTCGCATGGTAGACTAACTAGTAAAGTTAGATCACATGGGATTCTGGGTGAGCTTGCATTAATTAAGAAGACGTTTAGCATGCTTGCCTTCTTTGCTCAGACTACTGAGTATAGGAGTTGGGACATCATGTTGAGCTTGGACAGGACGTTGGTGAGGCCACTTCTGGAGTACTGTGTATAGGAAAAATACGATTAAATTGAACAGTGTTCAACAAAGATTCACCAGTTTGTTGCCAGGAAAGGAGCGTTTGGATTATAGAAATTGGCTGGATACGCTGGGATGTTTTTCACCGGAGAGTAGAAGGTTGAGGGGTGATCTTATAGAGGTTTATAAAGCCATGAAGGGCATAGATAAGGTGAATAGCAAGGGTCTTTTCCCTTGGGTAGGGGAGTTCAAAACTAGGGGGCATATTTTAAAGATGAGAGGAGAAAGTTTTAAAAAGGACATGAAGGGCAATGTTTTTATACCTCTCATAATTTTGCATACCTCAATCAGAACCCCCCCTCAGCCTCCTCTGCTCCAAGGAAACGAGCCCAGCCTATCCAGTTTCTCCTCATAACTGAGACTTTTCATCCCAAACAACAGCCTGATGAATCTCCTCTGCACCCTCTCCAGTGCAATCACGTCTTCTGATAGTGCGGTGACCAGAACTGCACACAGAATTCCATCTGTGGCCTAACCAATGTTTTATAAAGTTGTAACAAGACTTCCTCGCTCCTATACTCTACGCCCTGGCTAATGAAGGGCAAGCAGCCATATGTCTTCTTCACCAGCCCATCTGACTGTACTGACATCTTCAGGGATCTATGGACTTGTGCACTAAGATTTCTTTGTTCCTTGGTACTTCCTGGGCACCTACCATTCATTGTGTATGTCCTTTTCTTATTAGACCTTCCAAAATGCATCACCTTGCTTTTATCAGAATCAAATTTCATCTGCCATTGCCGTGCCCAATTTACCAGCTGATCAAACTGAAACCAAAACAGAAATTCCTGGAGAAACTCAGCAGGTCCGGCAACATCTGTGGGGAGAAAGCATAGTTAATGTTTGAGTCCACTGACCCTCCTTCAGGACCTATAATAGCTAGGAAAAGGCTGTATATATGCTGAAGACAGGGGACTGTGGGGGGAGGTGCAGGATAGGTGAAGATGGAACCCAGAAAGAGAGAATGGCAGTTAGGGAGACAAAGAAATAGATGAGAGAAAGCCAAGGAGAAAGAAAAGCTGATAATGGAGACATGAGTCAGTAAAAATGGGTTGGCTATGTTGAAAGCAACCCATGTCATGACAGGGCCTAGGGTGTTTGGATGTTGCTGGGGGGTGGATGCGGTAAAGGACAAGAAAGGGAAAGGAGGTGTTCTGGCCCTAAAATGATTGAATTTGATATTGAACCCAGAAGATTGCATGGCCCATAGCAGAAAATGAGATACTGTTCTTCCAGAGATAGCAGGAACTGCTGATGCTGGAGTCTGAGATAACAAGGTGTAGAGCTGGATGAACACAGCAGGCCAGGCAGCATCAGAGGAGCAGGAAAGCTGACGTTTCAGGTCTGGACCCTTCTTCAGAAATACTGTTCTTCCAGCTTGTGCTGAGCCTCGCTGGAGCACTGCATCATTATAGTGGTAACAAATTGAATCACGGTTTGAAATAGCACCAAGCAAATCACCGGATGCTCAGTTGCAGAGGGCAGAGGTGCAACATTTCAGGAACAGTACACTGACACAAGCTGCATCTCCTTTGTTTTATACTGAGGCTCTAACTGGCCTGGTTGCAGCAAGCCTGGCTCTAAAGGTTAATCATTGACATGATTGTGAAATGGAGAAGTTGAATATTCAAGGAAAAATAAGAGTTAGCCAGGTTGCTCTGACCATTAACAGATGTGTGTGGGCAGGTACCCCTGTACAGCTATTTGTTTTTCATAGACCTGCAAACTTTATGTGAAAATTTGGTTGATGTATTGATTCCAGGCAATTACAATTGATAACAGGACCTGGGAAAGATTGTTTTATATATTTTTAGCATATTCTAGAACAGATCAGTGTAAGCACAGGGCTAGGACCGAAGACCTGATTAAAGAAGCACACAGTGGTTTGTGCAGACGTTGAGATGAATAAGTTATGGATAGGTTATAGTCAGTGATTTTATCTGTACGTTAGGAGGGTTTTGTTGTGAATTATGGAAACAAGAAAGACATTACATTAAGAAATTTAGTTGTAATCATTTCTCCTCCTGGCTAGTTGTTTTGTTGATTATACTGGGATTAGAATAGCTGGGTGATTAATTTTGACCAGCAGAGATGCAATAGGCCGAAGGCCCTCTTTTGTGCTGTAGACCTCTTTGTTTTTATTATCAGCTGCTTACTGACTCAACCCTTTAATGATAGGTTGCACATCTTGCAAAAATTTCTTCATGATAGTAACTTTTCATGTATACGTACTACTTTCACATTGGTGCATGTTCAATTGAAATTGATGCTATTGTATATGAAATTTGGTCCATTAGGTGTCAGTATGGCCTTTAGAAAAGTGAGAGATACAGGATAAATGCAAGACATTTATAAACAGAATTGAAATGAAAATAGAAATATAGTAAGTTGTTCATATTCACAGAAATTCAAGTCATTTGAAATGTATTTTCTTCCACAGGGCAGTCCAGGACCCCCTGGAGACCCAGGGTTTCCAGGTCTCCCGGGTTTACCAGTAAGTAGCATTAGTGATTATTCTATTACTTTAAACTATTATGTAGTTTCTGTGCTCTCCATGTCACTGCCCAGTCAGCTTAAGTTGGGCTCAACTGACTGCTGTTCCCATCCTGTGACATTAACAAAATTGTATTAGAAAATTAACTTCTCCTCGGACTCGAAGTTGAATCTTGAAGGAGTGTATTTGGATTGATGGATTGACATTAGTCTAACCATAGGCTGAGTTTTCCTGCAGGCATGAGGAAGCCAACCTGGACCATGTGCAACATGTGCTGTGCTTGTCATTAAAATGGGCCCTAAATTGGCTGCCCTTGTTTTTGCCATTTAATGAAGCACAGGGACTTCCTGAAGTCGGCATCCCATTGAGTAGCCCCACATCATGGCTGGCATTGCTACTGGGAAAGATGGGCACTGATGAGGCAGAAAGGTATGTGTGAGGATGCAGCAAAATGGGGATCCTTAGGGCAACCAACTTAATCAAAAGAAGGGCCATGGTTGTTAGGATCACCTGTGGATGGGAAACCCTCCAGGAAGGGTTCTGAATGTGGATGTGGTATTTATACTAGCATAGGACCAGTGATACATGGCACCAATGGCTCTCTGGCTTGATGCTTGGTGGCTGCCTCCATGTTGCTACTGGAGTGAGGGGCAGGTCCAGTTGGGGAAACCATTAGGGGGTTCTGAAAACAGCACGTGAATGGGATCTTCATCGACCTAATTGACTGTACGTTAAATGGAGCAGGATATGGATTCCCATAGCAGCTCACCCCCATGAAGCTCATACAAAGGGGGAGCACATCAGGGAGCCAGCCCAACCCACAACTGTTTAAATTTCCACTCTCATAAACAGACCAGACTCCATTGCAAAATTCAGCTCACTGTGTCCAATGCCAAGTCCAGAAAGTTTTCTGCTATCTCTCTGATCTGCTCCTGTTTGTTTGGTAACTGTACACATAGAAAATGACTGAGCATTAAACAGTATGGTCTAAACATTCCTTGGGACTTTGATACTAAACATTACAGAGAGATGGTGTGTGCTGTTGACCACTACCACTGATCTTAGCATAATATGCAGGATCAGTGGTAGGGTGTTTCTCTGGATACCCAAATCAGTGCAATACATCAAAGGTATTTGCCAGCTTTGGCATGCTGTGCATTGTGCCCCGATACCCAGGTTGTTGTACAACGAGAGACTGAGAAGAAAGGGTAGAAGAGTCTTTAGAGTGAATGATGTACCTACAGAGAACAGTATTATGCATCATAATGTAACAAAGAGAGTTTGCAGAAACTACCTGAGACAAACAGCAGTCGCTGTTAGTTAAGAGGAAATCATTACAGGCCACAAACAACCAGCAGACACAAAATATAGCTATCTTTCCAATGTGCAAGCCTTGTGGCAATGTAGGTTACATGCTAGTGTAAGGTATTCAGTGCAACACCCTCTCCTGAAAGCACCCACTCTCTTTCCATGGTCCCTTTTGAGAGTAATTCAGGAGAATTCATGGGACAAGGTGCAATGCCCAAGATCCAGAATATCTTTACAAAAGAAGGATGATAGAAGCCATTGTGCACCATCAAATTGATCACAGAGAGCCAACCATAAATTGTGAGTCAATTGAGAAGGTACATGTCAAGGAGGAGACAACTAGCCTGTATAAAACTGTCGGTACACCAGTCACCTGAGCCTCTTCCCTGGTGGTGATGATGAAGCAGAAGGTTAGTTTGCTCATAACCCTAATTGTAAATTATTTAATAAAGCACCCAAAACATACTTCAAATGACACATGCTGCTTTCCTTGAGTTGGCAACAGCAAAATTAATCCTCCTTTAGGGATGTGAAGTATGTTCCTAAGAAATGTTAATTGAGGTAAATAATTGAGTTTAGCTATGCTTCTTGCCATTATTTTGAAAAATATAAATAGGTTCATTTTCAGAGTGAAGAGTTTCAGAGATTTCATAAGCCTCTTGAAAGTGAGTCAGGAGTCACCAGCGTGGTGCCTGACACTTCAGTCTTTGACACAGGTAAACAGGAGCATTATTAGAAAGTGGAAGCCCTGTTGAAACAATAACAATAGGAAAGGCATTGAACTGAAGCATATAGTTGAGGTTTCCTGTTGCAGGAATTCTCACCCACCATAACTTCAGCACAAAAGTTGGTGTGACCTTAGAAAAACAGCATACAAGAGAATCTCCACAAAATTCGCCATCTGTGTCTTGTTTGCAAATATGTATAGGATGAATTTCCTGATGAAGTGGTGGATGCTGGAACAATTACAATGTTTAAAAAACATTTCGATGGATATACGAATAGGAAAAGTTTGGAGGGATATGGGTCAGGGACAGGCAGGTGGGACTAGTTTAGTTTGGGATTATGTTAGGCATGGATTGGTTGGACCAAGGGGCCTGTTTCCATGCTGTATGACTCTATGACTCTATGTTTATGACGACTTGTTGATACGTGAATGAGAAATTAAAAATTTAACATCTCATCACCAATTCCGTATCACCCATAAAAGTAACTGTTACATTCACTCATTTCTCTTGTTAACCAAGATGTGGAGGTGTTGGAGTTGGACTGGGGTGGACAGATCAGAAGTCACACAACACCAAGTTACAGTCCGACGTGTTTATTTGAAATCACAAACTTACAAAGCTTTCGTCACGTGAAGTGAAGAGAAGCACACAGGCTCCTAGGTAGAGATCAAAGGATCGTACAAATGGTGTAAATGGAGTATTGGCAGGCTGAATAACAAGTCTCTGCAGGTGATAAAATGTGTCAGACAGTGTGAATAAAGTGTTAACAGCTGAATCGCAAGTGAAGGGAGGACCTATGATCTGATTGATTGAGGCAGAGATATAATTACAAAAAATTAAAAATAACGTTATGCTGGAGAAAAACCAAATGGCTGGAATAACATGATAGGTAAAAGAGTTGCATGCCAAGGGTCTAACCAAAGTGACAAGTAATCCAAAACTGTACAAACCAATTAAGGTAGAGAGATCATTACAATTTATCAAGGTGATGGCTTCAAAACGCCTTAGAGGATGCTTACCCGAAGATTAGAGGCTGAATATCCTTGACATGGACGGAGAGGTTCTCACACAGGGTCCCATTGCCTGATACGATAGGACGTCCAGGTGTGTTGGCTTTGGATATCTTCAGAAGGCAGTAGAAGTCTCCTTGTGAGAAGTGTGTGGGATGAGAGTAGATAGGATACCCTGAAGGTCTGGATCAAAGGTATTGATCAGTTTCTGGCTGTGTCAATGGCATCTTGAAACCTATTGTTCAAGGAATCCCCAGCTTCTGCGACAACACAACAGATTTTTTCAGAAACTCGGCACCCACGGACCTGTTGAACCAGGAGCATTCCTCGTCACAATGGACGTTTCAGCACTCTACACCAGCTGTGAACTTACTGTCCTGTTTTGACACCATCATCTTGGTAACTTGTTATGATCTCTCACCGTAATTAGTTTGTACAGTCTTGGATGACTTGTTACTTTGGTTAGGCCCTCAGCATGTGACTCTTATACCTATGATGTTATTCCAGCCATTTGGTTTGTCTCGAGCATCACATTATTTTTAATTTTTTTGTAATCATATCTCTGCCTCAATCAGTCACATCATAGGTCCTCCCTGAACTTGTTATTTAGAACATAGAACATAGAACATAGAACATTACAGCGCAGTACAGGCCCTTCGGCCCTCGATGTTGCGCCGACCTGTGAAACCA